AGGGCATTGGTATTACCTCTATTAGTCATAGCTATTCTTTTATAGCACAGTTTGCAAAGGGTATTAAATGAATCAATATCCCAGAAGAAAACATATTGAAGCTTGCTAGTTGAAAAGTGTTTAATAAAAAAGAATTAAGTATGAAGGTGTGGGTATGTTTATGAAGGAGATTTTCAAGAGATAGTGAAGATTGTCAGGGAAACTATTAAACTATTATCACTCTTGGGACTGAAGGATCTGCATATGGAGCATAATGGAAACCTAGAGGGAATAATTTCATGGAGAAGGTGGCTTGATAGAAATTGTACCAGATTACCTGGAACAATAAATACCTTAATTTTTTTCCCCTCAGGCTTATATCTGCTGCCACTGACTCCCATTGGCTAAATCCAATTGGAAGCCAAGAGCAAGAAAAAAACAGGCATATGGATGACCTATGGACTCAAGATACGGTACAGGACAGGAAGTAGAGGGTGGAAGATAAGGTGGTTAAATGAAAAAACATTAAGTAGTAGGAAAAACCACTCATTCCACTAAAGATAGTGAAGCTGTATAACAGTAATTCCTAGATCACTTAAGACAGCAAATTAGAAGGTTTCATTGATATATGCAAATAACTACTGATTTCATTCAAAATTGTGCATATAGTCTCCAGAAAATATCTACATAAACCCCTAAAACATGTTTTTACAATGATAGTAAAACATTTATAGGAATTGCTCAAAGACAATAATTAGAAGCCAAATGAATGAATAAAATCATTTCATACTGAAAATGGATGATGAAAAACTTCCTTCCATGAAATGCTTACCATTCTACATTTCTACAAAACCCCTATTTCCTATTAATATCACATGAATATTTTAAGGCTAATTTCACAATTGTAGTTCTATTAATATGTTGCTTATAATGCTTTCCATTAGCAGAATTCATTTTTGTGAACTATGTTAATGCATTTTCATTTTACTTTTATGCCTAAAACCATTTTCCCTTATAATCATCTGAATTTTATTTACTTTATTTGTTAACCTGTTTAGTATCATTTAACACATTGGTTGGTTTAATTACTCTGCAAAGTATTTTATTAATCTAGTTTTATCAATGCAGAAATCTCATTTATAAAACACGCTGATAAAAAAGCAGTGCACCTATCATTAAAAAAAAGAAACCAGTAATGTTTAAATTGTCTTTGCAATTCATCATTTTGTCTATCCTATGGTCTGTATTGCAGGAGCTAAAAGATTAGAACTAAATTTCCATGAATCCCTGCCCTTAGAATCCATTAATGAGAGTCTCTTACACAGGGTTTTGAGGTTAACATAGAGCAAATGTCAATTTTTTTAAAGTTTTATTTATTTATGCATACAAGCACTGGGGTACAGGCCAGAGGTGTGGGGGTGAGAGGATTCACCAGAGACAGAGTGGAGAACAGAACAGGCAGACTGACTGAAATACACTGCTGAGAGGAGCAGTGGGCGAGTCAGGAGAGGTCTGCTGTGCCATGTGGGTAGCTCCCTAGCCAGGGATTGAACTAGTACTGCAGTGGCTGCGGGTTGCTTTATAGATTGTGTCTTAACCCCTTGCACCACCAGGGAGGCCCCACAAATGTCAAATTATTGTTGCTCCAGTAGGAACTTAAAGAACTGGGGATTTTGCCAGATAGGAGATTTTGCAGAAGCCTCTGAGTATTCTCTAGACAATTGTCCATGTTGATGCCACAGTTACCTGTGATCATCACTAGTGTTTCCTATGGATTTTGCAATCTCTGGACTCCTTGAAAAACCAGAAGTTAACCCAAATTTTAGAAGCAGTTTTTCCATCCTACCTTTTCTTTATATTTATGAGCAATAAATATATTGTATAAAATACTGTGTTTTCTATATATACCACCCTGCTTGAAATACTTCAAGTTGCTTCTGGTTTCCTGACATGATCTGCAATGATATAAAAATCAGTTTAAAAAACGAAGGTTGCTGCCAACATAAACCTAAATTATGTGACAATGTTTGAAGATGAGCTCATGGGAGGTGAAGCTATTTTTACCACAAAGGCTGCAAATATGGATTTCCGATCGATAGATATTTGGTTAGACATGTGCTAAGTCGGAAGGTGTATCTTTTTTAGCTGGAAGAAAGCTGGAAGACTATTTTATTCAAATAAGTATGGCTTTTCTTGCCTTTTAGAATATCATTTGCTTGTAGGTTTTCCAACTTCGAGCCTATGTTTATTTTGGGGGTTGCATGGGGATCCTAGAGATAACAAAAATTTGGATTTTGTTTTATGATTTACCAGCCACTCTGTCTTTTGATTGGTGAGTTCAGGCCTTTAACAATGAGTGAAATTATTAGATATAAGTATTTACTGTCATTTTGCTACTTGTTACCTGGGTATCTTTTTGCAGTTTGTCTCTGTTCTTTTGTTCTCTTCTCTTATATTTTGAAAGGTACCTTTTGCATTGTGCTTGGATTCCATTTTTATCTACTTCTTTGCTTCTTCTACATATTTTTCCCCAAGGTTATCATGTACTTTGTATAGATAGGGCTGTATACCTATAATCTATCTTACATTGGAATCGTTACTCTTTAGTTTGTTCCTCCAGTCTTCAGTTTTATTTTCCTCTCCTCCCCCTGTAATTTCTGTATGTGGAGTCTTGCTGCTTGCACGTGAGGTTTCTTTTAATTTTATAAGAAGCCCTTTTATAGGGACTGGGTTTGAGGAGATGAATTAGAGGAAATGCAAGACTGGTTTAGAAGATATGAATTCCTTCAACTGTTGTTTGTCTATAAAGATCTTTATCACTCTTTCAATCTGAATGTTAGCCTTGCCAGGAAAAGAATTTTTATTTGGAGGTCTTTTCCTTTCATCACTTTCCACTCTTTCTTTTTATTTTAAATGGAAAAGTTTATTGCAATTGTCTGGTGTCTCTACCAGTGAAGAGTGGGTGTGGCTATCTCATCTATCTAGCTTTTTTTGTGTTTGCTTGTGCCACACCAGCCTCATTTTCTCATGCTGGAAGTGGCAAGCCCATTCAAAGCAGCAGTTGAAAACAGTTTGCAGTTTGTTCAACCCTCACAGAACCAGCTTCATTGCATTTCCTGTGAAGCATCAACACCAGCTGAGCAATGTCCTTTCCTCAGAAGTTGACAGGCCAGGGCCTCCCCCGTGGCTCAGCTCAACCAGTGCAGCACTGTGAAACTGTCCACAGCCTCTGCAACACAGCTTCATTCCAGACCAGGGAGATACCCACATGGCTTGACAGACCTCTCCTGTCTCACCTGCTGCTCCCCTGAGCAGTGTTTTTGGTCCGTCTGCCTATTCTGCTCCCCGCTCTGTCTCTGGTGAATTCTCTCACCCTCTCACGCCTCTGGCCTGTAGCCCAGTCCTTGTATAAATAAATAAATCTTAAAAAAAAAGAAGTTGACAGGACAGCCCTCCAGAGTCCCTTCCCCAAAACTCAGAAACACCAGCAACAGCTGATCACCATGTCTTTTTTGAATGCTACATTTCACCTTCACAGAGACTCTCCTCCCAATTTTGAAATGTTAATAATTCAAACATTCTCCCATTACTCTGTCTGCTTTAATGTGATAACTTTCCTGCAGTTGCTACCACTGCGGTCCTGAGAATTCTTATAATGACTCCTTAACTTTTCAAAGTCCAATATTTAAAAAAAAAAAATCTCTTTTTAAAATAGCTGGTGGCCTCCCTTGGTGGTGCAGCGGTTGAGCACTGGGCTGCGAAGCTACCCGCAGCCTCTGCAGGGCTGGTTCAATCCCCGGCCACAGGCAAGAGTCCCACATGGTGCGACAGACCTCTTCTGACGTGCCCGCTGCACCCCTCAGCAGTGTATTTTGTCAGTTTGCCTGTTCTGTTCCCCGCTCTGGCTCTGCTGAATTCTCTCACCCTCCCGCACTTCTGACTGTACCCAGTGCTTGTATAAAAAAATAAATAAATAAATAAATAAATAAATAAAATAGCTGGTGCGATATGAGAGTCTATTTGTGGGTAGGAAATGTTAGAAAGTTGGGACTTGTAACAATTTGTCTTACAGTTACAGGTGAGTAGACCACGAAATGCCTCTCCCAGATTTAGTCAAGAACACTGCATCACCCAGATGAACCCTTCACCTTCAGCCTCTCAGTGATGGGAAGGACATACTGGTACCGCCCTTTGGGCTTTGTGTAAATGGTGTTCCATGTTGGGAGGAAGGTATTGGGAAATAGGTATTAGATGGCCATAAAAGCTGTCTGTGCAGAGACCATCTACCTGTCCACTAAACTTGTTTCCCTTTCCTCCTGGGTAAATAACTAGATTACAGTTCTCTCAACCTTAATTTTAGATTTGATCAAATGGTGGTACTGGCTTTATTAATTGGCTTGGGCTATAAATAAAAATACTACAATCCACAAAGTACCCTGATCTCTTACTTCTGAATTCATGTTAAAAGGGCATTCTTCTTGTGCACCTGCCTGCCTCCAAATTTCCCCTCTGTATTAAATATCAATTAGCTTGGATTAGAGGCTCACCCTACTCCAATATGGCCTTAATTCAACTTTAATTATAGGTACAATTTCTCTATTTCCAAGTTATGGTTACATTTGGGGAAATTGGGGATAAGACTTCCATATGAATGGGGGTGGGTGGGTGGGAGGGGGTCACAAGTCAACCAATAGAACTACCAGTAAGTTTAGTGCAGTGAATACCACCAATAGGACTGGTGCATGAAAACATCCATGTTACCATAAGCCCTTTTCTCCACCCTCTTCTTAGATGTCAAGGTCCAGTGACCTGGCAATCCACACACTGAGGAAGTCTGGAACCCTGAATGATGTATGGAGCAGAGCCCCAAATGCCACCTCATCTGTCTGATGACTGGAGTCTTGGCGAATGAGAGGAAGAAACATCTAGTATATTAATTAAGACATTGAAATATCTGTATTTACGTGTTATAGCAACTATCATTACCTTCACTAATACAAGTACTTAGTCAAAAGTCCAGATCATGCACTTTATTTATTTTTTTTTTCACACACAACAGACAGACACTTTATTAGTATTGTCTATTACAAGAGACAGTAACATCTTTTTAACAGAAATCTCAGGTCATAGGAGAGGCCAAATAGATCCAAGGATGAAAATTAAATATTTAACGATGAAAATTAAATATTTAAATTAATCAAAAGGCACTACACCACCACCGAAAACCTACTACCATAGTGGTAGCAGGCTAAGGAAGATTAAGCTACAGAGTGAAGTCATTTCATGTAAATGTTAGAGATTACAGAGCAGGAAGTGAGTTTGATTTCCAGAAGACTATGGGAGCAATGATCACTTGGGCCCAAGAGGATATTTGGCCAGGAAAAGGACGAGATGGCTGTAAGTCAAGCCAAAGTGGAAAGGAACAGATACAAAGGAGAATCCAAGTAACAGTTCCTAAGCACAGGGTGATGGATCAGGCATTTTCCTCCCAAGAAACATTTGCTGTACTGTGTGCTGCATCTACTCAGGCTTCTGCCCGAGGGCTGCTGGAGCTGAAAGCTGCCAGCTCCTGTCTTAAGGGGCTTGGCAACCAGGGCTCCTGCGGTAATATAACATAGAACTTACAGAGCTTATCAAATAAGGGGGTGGGGAGAGGTAAACAGGGGTGGGAGTAAGGGACTGGGCTGGCTTTGTTGCTAGCAGTTCTGAACCAAGGAAAACCCTGAAGCATTCACATGCAAAGTAGTCTAAGTACCCTAATCAAATTCAAATACCCCTATACAACACCCTCCAGTTTGAAATCTTACAATAGCTACACTGTAAAGCTGCAAGACTCACAAAATTGAAGTAGCCAGAATGAGACAATGCGGTAGGAGATGTCAACAATTAATCTCAACCTGTCTTCCCCTAAATCAGGAGAAACACTATTTATTATACCTGATGTGGGACTTAGTAAACTACACTGGAGCAAGCTGGGTCTTTTGCTCAATAGTTCATCAAATATCAAGGGAAAACAGGGATGGGGTTCAGTTTATTTTTAAAAAGCTTCGGTTAATTCTATTATAAAGGGACATGGCTGAACAGGTAAGAAACCGATTCTCCATTGTGAGTTCTCCTGATGGCTTCTGCGAGGATCATGGAGATGTCAGTCACCTGTATTTTGGAGCAATGCTTCATCTTGTCCTCCTGAGGTATGGTGTTGGTAACTACTACTGCTTCAAAGCATGCATTGTTAATGCGAGAAATGGCTGGGCCAGAAAAGATTCCGTGAGTCAAGATAGCATAAACTTTCGTAGCTCCAGCTGAGAGAAGTTTGTCAGCCGCGTGGCAGATTGTGCCACAAGTGTCGGCCATGTCATCCACCAGGATGGCCACCCGGTCCTTGACATTTCCCACCAGCACCATGCGGTCCACTTCATTGGCCTTCTTCCGTTCTTTGTGAATCAAGGCAAAGTCCACATTCAACCGGTCTGCAATGGAGGTCACTCTCTTAGCCCCACCAGCATCGGGTGAGACAATAGTACAGTTCCTCCACTCAGAGATGTTCTCCCGTATCCACTTCAGGACAGCTGGCTCTGCATACAAATTGTCCACTGGGATGTCAAAAAAGCCCTGAATTTGAGAAGCATGCAGGTCCATGGTGATAATATGATCTGCACCTGCTACTGATAGCATGTTTGCAACAAGCTTGGCTGTGATGGGAGCCCGGCTCTTATCCTTCTTATCTTGCCGGGCATAAGGGAAGCATGGAATGACTGCAGTAACTTGGCGGGCAGAAGCAATCTTACAGGCATTAATCATGATCAAAAGTTCCATTAGATTGTCGTTGATTTCGCCACAACCACTCTGTACAATATAGACATCTTCTCCTCGTACACTCTCACCAATTTCCACACAGGTCTCCTGATTGCTGAATTTCTTTGTCACCACCTTGCCTAGCTCCAGGCCCAGGCGCTCGGCAATTTTCTGGGACAAGTCCTGGTGGGAGCTTCCACTAAAGATTTTGATGTTCGGCATCTTGGCCCACTGCCCTGGCCTCTCTCCGTGCAGTGATCGTGGCTGCTGTTGAAACTCGAACACAAGTCGCCCCAGAGACTCTGTGCAAAATGCTTCGCGTTGCTACTCCGCCATCTTAGATCATGCACTTTAAAAAAAAAAAAAGAATAATTGTTATTCTACCTATGCTTTTTTTTATCTATACGTTTGTGATAGCACTTTAATACTTACATTATACTTATAGATGCCTAATTCTCCTCTACCAAAGAGTTCCCAGAGGACAGGATTTATGTTTCATTTCTTTTACATATTCTATACATTCTTGCACTGTCAGAACTCAAAAATATTCATTCAATTGAATAAAGAGAAATAAAGGTCAAAGCAAACAGGAAAATTATTTTCATTCAGAGTCTACATTGCATTAATTCATTGTGGCTGTCAAAATTCTTAACTAACCAATTTAAATAATTTTCTTTAAATTAAACTTGCTAATTTTAATGAAATTTTCCATTCAAAAGAGTGAAGATGATTTAGGCATAGAAAGCCTAAGAAAAATGACTATCAAGAATTTCACCTAGTTATCAGCTCACACAGCTGATATATTAATACAATGCTTAATAGTGGAAGGTGCGTCAGAACTAGGCACAGAACCAAAAGCCAAAGAACATAAGCCAAGGAAACAAACAATAGATCTCTTGAGCAAATTTAAAAAAAAATAACAGTATATTGGAGATTTATAAGAAAGCACAAGTGAGCTTATCTGAAGGAACAAATAATGTCTAAACTATAATTGTTAATAAACTTAAACTGTGAGTTCTTAATGAGTTTGCTATGCAGAAGCACTTTTAAAAAGTCACAAAAAATACTTTTCTCTACATAAGGAAGGAAAGGTTAAATTTTAGGATCACCTGAAAAAGTAAAAACTCCAGAAATTTTAACAAAGGGAAAATATTGTATTTTGCCATAAATTATCATATTGAAAACACCTTCAAGATCTTCCCATTTTTATATATGATAAAAAAATGGTTGAAGTGAAAACTAATTTGAACTCTTGAATTTCTAGAGAATGCAGGAGCATTACTGTAGTATTTACATGGTTAATTGCTAGTAGGTCGGTATAAAGGAGTCATTTATTTTGAAGTATTTCAGGTACTTAAAGAAATGTGATTAATGTTACAATAATATTGCTAACCCTAGATAATTTTCACCTGTTTTCTGTTTAAACAAATAAACAGTACTTAGCTAATGAGTCTACTATGTAATCATGGTTTTCAACACAAATCTATGAGATTGAGTTTCTGAAAATAAAATAATTGATGCTCTCAGATTAGACAGGGAACAGTGACTAGAGTGACTTTCCAGGTAAACATTTGTATGGGAATTATTGAATTATACCCTTTCTAAATAACTGAAAAAAATAAAAATTTAATTTACAATCATTATATATGGTGATATTATTTGTGATAGCAGAATAAAAATAAGAGTAATGGGATACACACTATGAAAAGGAAAAAATGTTGAATGAATTAGGATACATTAAAAAAAGGAAATTCCATGGTTTTGAACACATTAGATATAATTTATATGTAGGAAAGAAAGCAATACTGAATCTGAGAAAATTACTATTTCTTTTTTATCTGGGCAAACCAGAATTACCACCTTTTTCCCTTTTGAAATGAAAGGGATCAGAGCAGTTGAACATATTTTGATTAGCAAATATTTATTCAGTATTCACAAGAAATTAAATACTGGGAGAGACTTTGGAGAAAGTTCTTCTATGAGAAGGAGTAATGCAATTCATTTTAGATTCTTAAAAATAGCAACACAAATTAAAAAATAAATGAATTTTAGTAAAATGCAATAAAAATATTTGTGCGCATTTTTAGGATGCAAGGGACCTGTTTTTCAAGTCATTCAATCTCTCCAAAATCAACTTTCCTGTCTATGAAAGGGGGTAGGAATAATGGCTGTTTTATCTAATCTGTGAAAACTATGTTAGAAAATAGGCACATTCTTCAGAATATCATCCATATCAATTTCTTTATAGGACTCACTTTGGTTTAGAGTACATATATTTCATAGAACATACATATTTCTCAAATTAGTATTTTTGGCTGATATTTACAAAGAAAAAATCTACATGCCCCAAACCTGGTATTAAGCAAAATAATGTGCAGAAAAAATATTGAAATACCATCCAGATATAATTATGAGGCCATCAGAATCACATGTGGAAACCTTTAAAAAACCAATGTCACCAGAGGGAATATCCAGTATTTTTCAATACACATAGTAAACTGTATGAGAGCCACCATATTGATTGGTGATCATTAATCGAATGTTTAATTATTTAACTTCTTAAGGCAATTTGTGTGGCTTTCATGTAGCAAGATTGTTTTACCTTATTTACCTTTTAGGAAATGAGGACTTTGGGTGGACAAGTCACATAATAAAATATTTCACATCTTAAAATATTGGGAAATAATCTCCCAGTTAGCATTACTGTTAAAACATCAGATTTTTTGGGGCCTCCCCAGTGGCACAGCAGGTTGAGCACCACACTGTGAAGCTGTCCACAGCCTCTGCAGCGTGGGTTCGATTCCCAGCCGGCGAAGGAGAAACCCACATGGCGTGGCAGACCTCTCCTGCCTTGCCTGCTGTTCCCCTCAGCAGTGTCTTCAGTCTATCTGCCTGTTCTGCTCACCGCTCTGTCTCTGGTGAATTCTCTCACCCTACTGCTCCTCTGATCTGTACCCGGGTTCTTATATAAATAAATAAATCTTTAAAAAAATGTTTATTAAAAAAACAAAACATCAGATTTTCATTGAATGTTTCACTGAAGTCAAGTGGGTAATCTCTATACAGTCACCATAACTGTCAAGTACTAGGAAGTCAAAATATGTGAGGAATCTTATAGTAAACCTAATAAAGAGAAAACAGATTCTTTATGACTACCTATTTTTGAGAATGTTGTTACTAAGCATAGTATAATAGCTTATTTTCTAGAACTGTCATTAAAAGAATTCCATGCTCAGAATCACAATATCACTATTTTTAAATACATTTACATATTTAAAGTCTATTTTTGATTTTCAAGGCATGTTATTTTGTCAAAAATATTTTAAACTCTTCAATATTTTTGATGGATGTGTATAAAATACAAACTTGTGTTATTTTAGTTGTCTGGAAATAACTTGTGTTCATGTAGAGCTGCTACATTTTCATTTAAGATATTGCAATCTGTTGTCAGATTTTATTACTCTTGTGTATCTGCTGTGATTGCCAAGCATCATTTCAATAAACGTCTCTCAAAGAGAATCATACAGTGCTAAGAATAGCCAAATAAGCTAAACAGAGGCTGAAGAATATAACTGCATGGTAGTGGTTTGTATTTTGGGAAATGTTAATGATCATCTTATGATTAGGTTATGAATCCATTCATTTATTTGTGGTTTCCTTAAGAAGTATTTTGTGATATTTAATCTATGTGCAATATTTGATGATATTAGTATTATGGAATTGCAGTTAAATTTTAAACCACCCATATACGAATTAATTTCTTATTATTCTTAATAACTAAAAATCATGCATTTCCCTCCTATAAAAATAAAATTTTCACTCAAACTTTTCTGAAAGTAATGTGAAGAAAAAGATTGAAAGATAGCCAATGAAAAGAAAGCAAAAGTAGAAATGTGCTCTCAAGCAATAAAATTGTGAGTTGTAGGAAGAGGTCCAGTATTTTCTAAGCCCCAAATTTCTATAATTTCAACACCCATTCAGTCATATCTACTTATATTTGATATAATTCTCTTTTTGCACAAGATCTAGTCATTTTGAAGTAATGGAAATACGTGATGGAATTTTAGAAATGGTAGGCCATTTAAAGACCATCAAGATATTAGTTTTATTCATCTCAAATTTGTCAGGACATATTCCACAGCAGGTACTTAAAGCATATTTTTGATAAATACATTAACGAATATAGTTCAATGTTCCCCAATCATTTTTATGTGATGGAAGACAGGAAAATGGTCAAAGCATGGCATTCCTGGGTAAAAGGAGGAGGCTACTCATGGCCAAGGGTCACTGGGCAAAAGGCCCTGACCAGCCTACATCCTGCCTTGAGAGCTGAAGCTTCACTATCTTGACATACCTATAGCTCATTCCTACATGCCATGTAGGAAGCTCACAGCTAACAATTTGTGAAAGACCAATAAATACTGATTTCACGCTGCTGACCAGTGCAAGCATGAAAAGTGATAATAAAAACTGAGAATTCTATTGAGAAAAATGTGCATCAAGTTCAAGATTATGCAAGACAAGTATCTACACCTATTGTGTATATGCCCAGGATAACATTGGTAAAGACATACAACTGTGGCACCTTCATGGATCCGCTGTAACAAGGGAAGCTAGGAAATCAGATTCACCCTGATTCATGATAAAAAGAAAGAAGAGTGGATCATCCACATTCACTAGTGCAGATGCCCTATCATGTCCAACAAGAGTTCCACATTGCTTTTCTGCCAAGTATTTCACACATCTGGATAGAGAACTCGAGAAGATGTAAGGCATCCATGACAGTGGACCTCCAATGTGGGGCCATACACACCTCTTTAATCATTGACAACCTTCATATTCCTTTCATAAACCATTGACAGTAGATAAAAGCAAGATCATCACATATCTGTTTATCTCCAATGTCCCACACTTATTTTATAGGCCAGAAAACAGTTCAGAAGAAATCATTTACGTAGTCTCTTCTAATCATTCAGTGGTGGGAGAACTGGAAGTCAGATCTACTAAAACAGCTACAGAGATGAAATGGAAGATGTCAATCACAGCTATCCCACAAAAAGTAACACCACTTCCAAAGGAGATTAGAGTTCTAGATACTCATTCTTAATTTGTTCTGAAGAAAACTTAACCAAAACACTAGAATAAGGTGTATTTTTTTCAAATGAGTTAGCTATATTAAAATACTTATTGTTTTCCTGTAGAAATTAGCCTTAATTATACCCAAATATACATTCAGTTATTAGATGAAATCAGAGATAACTTTGGCATGTGCTTATATAATTCCTTTGGTGACTCAGTATTTGACTGTGTGATCTGGTTGCCATTTGACTCTTGAATTTCAGATATACT